TCTATTCCTTTTACAGACCTACCTATTTCCATAAAACTAATAAGAATCAGAGTAGCTCTCCATCATATTTGCCTATTGCTGTGGATTCAGAACTGAGTGAAGTAAGCCAGCTTAGTAGGAAAGCATAAGATGGTAAATCATGTTTGACTTCCAGTTCAGGCTCTCTTGATGCATAGTGGTAACGTACACTTCAGTGAACCACTTAAGTGCATGATCTTCATATTTACCAAGTGCTTTGCTTAACAGAGGCTTCTCACTGTGTATGAAATTAATGCGTTCCACCAAAACAGCATATTTCTAACTCAGCTTCCCCATCTCTGAAACACGTGTTGTCACGTGTCACAACTTGTCAGTCTCAAAGTTTTATTATGATACCCTATTTGTTCTGTTCTATTCTAAAGAAATAGCTTTAAAAACATCAAGAGTATCCATTAATGAACCAAGCTGAAACCCAGACCATTCAGAGAAGACAAACACTGATTATCAAGATATTTGTCTGAACTTGTTCCCATTTACTGTGTCTGGAATGAAAAATGACATTAATCATTGTAACAAACAAATTTGTACATAGTTTATTACAACCAACTGAAAGAATGTATGCTTACATTAAAAGTAATCCTTAGATAATAGCTGTTATCATATTACCATGATGCATCACTATTTATTCATTTTAGTGCGATTAGCTCTCCTCCAGTAAATATTTAAGTACTCTTCAGAGTATGTTTAGCAAAACAAGTTGCCAGGAGCCAGTTCTGTGTTCATTCCATTAAGACTGCTAACATTCCTCATGAAAATTCAACAAAACTTCTGTTGTTGACTTATCTGACGGTTTCTGATCCCCTATCATTTCAATGCTGGTGTGTTATAGGGCAGCAATAAAATATCATAACTGCATTTGTTTCCTTTTCAGCAACAGACATTTGATTTGTTGGTAGCCCCCATCGGGGCTGGCACTGAGCTCAGTGAGCTACATTCACTTTTAAAAAGCAGCATGAAAGGAAGAATACATCTGGAAAGTATCAGTGGACCTGCTGAGTAGATAATGGGACACGCAGGTATAAACATGCAGCCATAATGGCCAGAAAGTACTCTGACATTCAAGTTGCTCAATAACCTTGATAACAGAATCCAAAGAACATCACCCAGTAGTTCCTCCATAACAGGAATTATTCTGTCTTCCTTTATTCTATCATTTAATAAATTTTATGCTCACTTCCTGCTGATGTTTTGCTGTTCTCTCTTTTACTGCCTGCATCTCTCTTTCCATTCTTATAGTATTTTCATCTTTGCTCTCCCACTTCATCGTTTTTCACTACTGCTTACCCCAGCAGTTTCTTCTGCTTCAACCATCCTCCTCCGTCTGTCCTGGTACAACATGTCCTGGTAAAGACAAAGGAGGCAATGCTATGCTCTGAGGAAGAGCATGGTGTGAAGCAGGTACCAGAGCAAGCTTCCTTTGAGAGGAATTGGATATTACTAATGCAGCGAAAAACATGATACAAGGCCCTGGGTATGGAAGAGTCATTTTACTTCCTTTCAAATTATAAAAATGATAATAATAAAAAAAATATGTAGGTCCATTAAGAAAAGGGATGTTCTACAGAGGGTATAAGGAAGAATATAGTTACCCCTTAACTGTGATCAGTTGTTAATTAATGCACGCTCATTTCTGCCAGGGATCAGTGCTGCATTTGTGTTTTGTGTTAAAGACGACACGGCTTCACCAGTTTCTGGAGCTTCTGATGATTTCAGTGAGAGGAAGACTAAGCCATTCTGATGAGTGGGCTCTTCAGGGAGAGACAGGCAGAACGCATGCACATGTAAATTTTCTCAGCAGAAGGCTTCAGTGGGAAGTATTAAGTGATAGTGAAACCCTCAGTTGTTTACAAAGATATTAAGCTACCAGGATTTGTTCCTGCTCTCCTTGCCCAGCAAGGAAACCAGAGCAGAAGGCACAATAGAAATGCTCAGCCAGAGGTAGGCCACAATCCACAGCACAAAACAGGTTTACTCCCACATATGAAGAGATGGACACCTGTTAGTTAACAGGAGAATCGGATCTGTACAACATCCTGAAGGAAAAAGTTCCCAGAGCGGTAAATAGTAAACCCACCGAGGAAAGCTTCCTGGATGGCATCCCAGCAAGCACTATGTACACACACACACAACGCTCTAGAAAAGTCAGGCCCCAGCTAAGTTACCTGGTGCATTAAAGTGACCCTGACAGGAGAGATCAAAATAGATGAAGTTATTTTGACATGAGGAGAAATGTTAAATCTTGGAAAGGGATGTATGACAGGTGTTTAATGTTTCCTCAACAGATGCATGAGCTATGCGTGAGCTCCCTTACTGCAGCAAGCACATTCCTCAGTAGATTCAACTAGCAATGTAGGATTTAAGCCTCAACAAGCAACTGTATGACATTTGAATGAATAGAGAAGCTCAAAGTAATAATAAAAAATCTGTTCCCAAGCTCAAACAGCAATCTTCACCAGAGACTTAGAGATATCTGAGTCTTAAAAGAAAGTCGGCCAAGCATTGTGACGGCTTGATACAACCTCTCACTGTTCACTGCTTTGTGTCATTAACTCCAGCTTAACCAGTGCCCTGGATTCAGTGCATGCTGCAGCAAGAAAGAGACAAGTTTCTTCGCTGACCTAGATGGAGGACAGTTATTTTCAGGTTATTAACGTGCACTTCTCTTGCATTCTGTGAGGTAGGCCTGTTTCTTTTCCACTATGAACCACTGACATCTAGCTGTGTACTGACAGGCTGATATCACACTTGGACTGAACATTAGGGGGATAAAAAAAAAAATAATGAAAGTGAAGAAATGTCAGTATCCCCATTGCAGTGCCCACCATTGAATCATGAAGTTAAACTTACTTTTTCTGTTGCTGAGCTCACTCTGTGCAGCATCTTCAGTTATCACAACTCCTCAGCAGAGTAGAGCTCTGGATCCAAACATCAGGTGCAAAGGCAGGTACTGGGATAACACAGACCTGCATAGGCTGTTAGCAACAAAGCTGCAATATCTAATATCTTGGGCTGCAGCAAGTCTGAAAGAAAGTATAACAGCCAAACCAAACCTTAGGCAGCTTCATGAATACATCAAGGGTCAGAAGTATGCGTAGAAAGATGTCTATACTAGCTTGCTTAGGAAGAAGAGAGGTATGGCCAGACCAGGCAACAACTGAGAACACGTTCACCTTCCTTGGCCTGGCTCTTAGAGTGCTTACACTTGATGAAGAAAGCAGCATGTTTCCACAGAGAATATTCTTTCCGTGTCTCTCACTTTGATAAGCACATTTAAAATCTAATGCATCTCAGTGACTGAGTCTGCCTCTCCCTGCAACCAAGGGAGACGAGAGCACAGAGATAGCGCAGGGTCAGTTTGCATGTTTTACTGGTTCACCAATTACACGTTCCTAAGCATTTGGCCGATTCCTCTCCCCAGCTGCTAAGCAGTTGGCATAATAACCAGTAAAATTGTCATCAGCCAAGTTTAAGAGAACTTACACATTTCCCATCGTGATACTGCTGACAAAAATATCCTCACAGATGCTACACACAGCACTACAAAGAGAGCCACACAGATAGCAAGAACAAGCTGGAGAGACCATAGTGTTCATTGAAATATTGGAAACAGTTTTTCCATTCTCTCCCACACACACTCATTATATAACACCTTGTTTAGGAGTCTCCTGAGCAGCTTGTACAAACAAAACAATAGATTTCCATACTTAGCAGCCTCGACATATTCAGTGAACATTAGCTATTTAATAGGCAGTTCGCCCCCTCAAGTCATGGGGTACATAAGCTGTGACACCAAAGATAGCTGAGGAAGACAGAGAAAGAAGAGATATAAACAAGAGCAGAGCCTGACCCAGATGCTAGGGTAGCTTTCACAAATACACTGATAACGTGTAAAGTTTATTTGGGGTACAGAGGTGCTTTATTATATATTTAAACTGACACTGATTAAGAACACCCTCATTGAAGCATGCATAACATGGGGAGCATGTACATCTTAAAGAGAAAGATGAAATAGGCTTCCCTGCTGCAAAAGACAAATAGTAAAGCCAGTCAACAAAAGCTTCCATCATAACAGTGAGTGTTATCTGCCTGTCTTCAGACATGGCAAAAAAAAAAAATATATATATATCTATATATTTATATTTATATATATAAAATATATATATATAATATATATATATATATTATATATATATATATATATATATATATATATATATATTTGTATATATATATATATCCAAAAACAATACAGGAATCCTGTGTGCTCCAAGGGTGCTCTTTCCTGGACCACTGTTTCTGTAAGTCTTTCTCGTATCTGCAGTTGTGCCAAAGAAAGGGGCAAGGCACTGACAACAGTGATGCCTCTCCCCAGCCAGGTTTTTTAGCTACCAGCTGAAAAACTTCTGAAACTCTCATGATTTTTCATTATGAAGGCATCAGAGGCAACCTCTGCCTAAGAAGCTCTTGCCATCATTCCAAACTTTCTCCACCCCCCCATGCAAACTCAAGTTATGGCAGCATCGTGCTCAGGCATGCATAGTAATAGCTTGCCAAACAGACATGAATTTTGCTTTTTAGGCTGAAAAAAAAAAAAAAAAAAAAAAAAAAAAACCACAAGGGAAAAAAAAATGCACAAACCAGAAGCAAAACGGTTTAACAAATACGATACCAGCAGCAGATGTCATGAGCAGCTGTGTTGACACAGCAAAGGCAGCAACACAGCATGGTAGGAACTGCACAGGCTCCTGCTGCTGCTGGAGCACCACACTGGGGGCAGCACCCTGGATGGGCCAGGAGCCAGCACAGCATGAAATGTAACCACCAGCCTGATGAGGGAACGGGGGAGTGTTTTTCTTCAAATACATCTTGCCTGTCAGTGTTAACTGAAACTGCCGCAGGAAGACATCCTACAGCCCCCTAGGGAGCTGCTGTTGCTTTTCAAGGCAGGGGATTCAGTTTATGACACAGGTCAGCACTTCAGCATAACCTCACCCTCTAAGTTTCAACAGAAAGTTGCCATGCTTATGCAGATGCAATGGCTGATCTTAAGGCTACTCTCAAAACAATCATCTAATACCCACGCTAGAAACCACTCATCTCCATGGCTCCTAGCAGCCAGTGATATTGGCACTGACTGGATACCTACACTCTCCCCCATTTGACTTTTCACAGCCTTGCCTCTGGAATATATTTTGCAGTTTACAGACATACTGCAGGCTTAACACAATTAAAGACCCCCAACTGCAGCTTTACATGCAGTGCCTAGTTACAGGCTTCTCACCCTCCATTTAAACCCCCTAGCCAGTCTGCACAGAGAAGAAACTATACCCATTTCCACTGGAGAAGAAAAACCAGGAGAAATCTGAGTTGCCTTGGAGAAAAAAAAAAAAAAAGCCACACCATCTGAATGACTACATGTCAAATACAGGAAACAGGCTCCCAAATATTGAGCTGGTAGGGTCTGTCTGGAAGTAGTTCTCCAAGTAACTTTTTTGTCTGAATGGATTAATATATCTGAACCTGGTGGACAGTAGGACCTTCCTGTTCTATGCTACAAGCAGAATAAATGAAACAATGATGCACAACAAGCATTAATACTGGTATGTCCTCAGTAGTGCTATAGTCTCAAGTACAGACCCAATAGCGCTCAAGCAGTCTTTCCAGTTACATAGGTGCAGAACACAATCTTTAAAAGGTCTTGGGAAAGGTCATTTTCTGGATTGCACTTTATCACGTAAGTTTGCTTGATCTGGATCCTAATAGAACGAGCCTCAAAGAGACTAAGGAGAGTTTTATTAGAATCACTCTTAAAACAACTTTACATATCCTTAAGGGTGAATTGCTGTCAACATTTATACACAGTGTATAGAAGGCTCCTGAGATGGCACTCTGAATGCAGAGACCAAGGAGACAATGCCAAACACAATCCTCAGCCCAATGCACGTGTGGTGACGCTGAAGTTACAGCACAACGCTATTTCATCATTCCAGTATTAGATAATTCATCAGATTTACCATCACCGTGAACAAGACCAGATGAAGTTTCTCAGGTGCTGTCAGATGAAGCAGACTTTCACACACTGAATAAGGAGATTCCAGCTACCCACCCATCTGCCTTAAAGGCAACAGGTAGTGGAAAGAAGACCATCTGTTTGATGCAGCAAATACTTCATGGAAAGGCATAAGGTCGAGTCCTTTTCACAGTTATTCATAAAAGCAGTCCAACTGCTTTCTTCTGAAGAATGTTGATAGGGAAACTTAAACACCTTTCAGCCACCCACCTAGATAGGCATACAAGTATAGACCAAAAAATATGCAGAGCACTGGGCTGGGGAAAAGAAGCCAGCAACAGCAACACAAGCCGGGTGTGTGGCAACAGCTAGAACTCCTGTGAATGGCCATTTTTGTGGGGTGGCTTAAGTGTCACTGTCTTCTTAGGAACAAGCTCAGGAAGAACATTAGGTAACACCCCTCCTTCAGCGATGGTCACACAGGAGAAGAGCTTGCTCAGCTCATCATCATTTCTCACAGCCAGCTGGATGTGTCGGGGCAGGATCCTGGCCTTCTTGTTTTCCCGTGCAGCATTTCCTGCCAGCTCCAGGATCTCTGCAGTCAGGTATTCCAGCACTGCAGCCATGTAGACTGCAGAACCGGGGCTGATCCTGTCAGAGTAGCGGCCTCTCTTCAGGAGCCCGTAGACCCGGCCCACAGGGAACTGCAGACCAGCCATGGCTGATTTCGTTTTCTTTGACACAAGAGGGAGCCTTGTGTTTTCATTCTCACGTGCAGACATTCTAGCGTCAATCTAGCGTAAGGAAAGGAAGAATTAGCAATAAGGAAAAACAACAGAAATTGAGTATTTAAGTCTGTCCTCCCTTCCTTGTCATTCCACTGCCTCTCTCATTCCTGAGAAGTCGGTTTTTGTTTCTCAAGAAGTTTGCTAGTTGTTTCACGTTCCTGTCTGGAGGAGCAGATGTGTTAGGCTGCTTCTCCATGAAACTGACATGTTTCCAGCCAAGGGACACCTACCACTTCAGTCAGAGCAGAGGTCAGCTTTCTGCTAGGCTCCTGAACTTCTCAAGAAAGAGAAGTGGAACAGGGAACAAGGTTTTCTGATCCAGTATCAGAGGAGCACTGCTGCTAAGGAAAAAGGTTAAGCAAACAAGGCTTCAAGATGCAACAAGCATTCAGAAAGCCTGCAGGGAATCTTCACTGAACTTACCCCTAGCAGAAACACGAACAGCTTCCATATCCTCCAAGCAAACAGCTAAAAATTTATATGTTTTTCTGATGTAACAACAGAAAAATAAACAAAAAAATCCCCTTCATCTGCTGGAAACCACTTCAAACAGAGCCTGTCTTCTAAAGATGAGAAGACCTATGCTGCAAAGTGACAGGCTACAAACAATAACAAGAATTACAAAGAAGAGAAGCTGTTTTTACATCGGAGACTGAAATTGTTCTACACTGTATACTGCAGCAGATTACTACAAATACATGAGTGCCATCTACTTGTATACTGTTTCTCTTTTTATTTTTCTCTGAAACAAGCCTCCATTACTTATTACTGATGAAGTTCTTAGTACTGAATAGCACCAGCTTCTCTTTGATACATAACAAAAAAAAGCAAATATAGGAAAATCCCACCCCTATGTAGAGGATTGCTTTTAAGTTTCAATTGTAAGCTGTTTTGAAAAAAAGGAGGGACTTCCCTCAGATTTCAGGAGAAACTAAATCAAATATTATATTAAAGCACTTTGAAGTATAATAATAGAAAGGCTCTTATAGATTTTTGAGGACCCACCCTAGAAAAAGGGAGCTTTAGAATTAGCCTAGATAAACAAAGCTAAGATTCTCTTTAAACAACAGCCTTACACAAACAAACAAACCAATTATAAAAGCCACTATCTCATTCAATAGTGGCTTTTACTCATCCAGTTCATTTCCAACACAGAGAAGGACACCCTTAAAGAAAAAGTCCTTACCAATACAAGTTGCTTCAGCCCTTCTCTCCAGAAAAACCACAACCAAAACAAATCACCCTTTCTCCCCACAGCTGCCCCCTTTTTAAGCTCCAGACTGGCAGCCATATCATCAGCAGCTCTTGCCTCATTTAATGCCACCTGAGTGAGTGAAAATTCAGCCTCTCAAAATGAGAAACGATGAAAGTCACAACACTTGAGCAGCACAGTGCGGTTCTTAAGAGCAGGTGAATTTGGTACTCTTCCTTGAAAAGCTGCTTTGCATCATCAGCTAATTTTCTCCTCTGAAAACACACATTATTTACTGCCTTGAAGAAGGGTGATACCTCTGACTGGCAATTCATTTATTACAGCTGTACGGGGGCATACTGCACCCTGCTGCAGTCATCAAGAATTCAACCTAGTAGCCTCTACTGTGGTTGATTTTGCTGCCAGCAGTGGCCAAACTGCTTTATGAGCACATTACAGAGCTTGGGAAAGGCTCAGGACCTCTGGTTGCCTCCATTTCATGGTTTGTCCCCCTTTGTCACGCAGTTCATTTTTTTTCCAAAGTCATGCGTAGCTGTGTTGCAAGGTTTTATATGTTCTTTCAAGGGTTGAGTGTGTGGTGACAGCTGAATCTATTATTTCTCCAACGTATGAATGCTGAAGGGTTGAGCCTAGGCCCAAAAGAAACTATCACTAGCAGCTGAGCTAGGAGGCATCCATTCTGAGACATCCAAAGCCAGAGAGGTGTTTTCAACTCACTCTGCAATCTGGTTAGTTTATGAATGAATTAAACTACTGGCTAGAAAAAACCAAATGAGATTGTTCTCAATCAAAGAAATTCTGAACAAATAGATCTTGGAATTCATCACAAACTCAGTCTTTGGGGATAGGGCCTTTCTTCTCCCTCAGCTCTTTCATCACACAGAAAATGTCAAGTAAAGGCCTTTCCAGTAGCTGCATGAACACTGGATGTGCCTCTGAGGGTCTGTTTGGTGTGGCGCAGAGCAGAACCACAGAAGCAGTTTTCATCCTGGAGCAGCACTCTGAAACATAGCTGTCTTGATTAGCAGAAGGCTATAACTGCCACACTTAAACCTGCATGAAATGAGTATCTTGCTTGAATCTTCTCTCATTACTGCAAGCTTTTAGATTTTCGCTTCACCGAAAGAAATAATCATTCCCGCCATTGCTTTGCACAGTCAAATAGCAGGATTAACTTGACTTTCACATGTTCATTTCACATATATGTCCTTTAAACCTTTTTATTATTATTTTTTTCCCCAGTTAGCGGCACAAGGCTGAAGTTGCATGTAGGACAAGGGGGATTGGAAGGAACAGCCTTAAGTTGTGCCAGTGGACGTTCAGGCTGGATACTGGGAAAAACATCTTCTCCAAACAAATGGTGATGCAGTGGCACAGGCTGCCCAGGGAAGTGGTGGAATCATCGTCCCTGGAGGTGTTCCAGAACCGTGTGGATGTGGCACTGAGGAACGTGGTCAGTGGGTAATACTGGTAGTAGGCAAACACCTGGACTAGACGATTTTTGAGGGCTCTTCCAACCTTAATGATTCTATGATATAGTACATTTTTATGCACAAAGCCGCAGATCTACTCCCAGGCATTTTTACATTTCTTTGCTCCAGCATCCCCCACTTTCTCACTTTAGTGAAAAGCGTAGGCCAACCAAAAGCTCATCAAATTGATCTTTGCAAACAGGCTATATACAACTCCTTCAATTGCCCACTACTGTGAAAAATTCAAGATGTTTGCTTTGCTCAGGAATCCTTCTCCTTTCCCACTCTTACTTAAGTGCAGCTTTGAGTTGTTTACATTATGAATCACTACAGCTCCAAAGACCCTCAAAATTGTGAAAGCTGACCTGTAAGCTCTGGCATACTCATGCTTTGAGGGCACCCAGGTCAAATTCAACATGACAGGCATATCTTACATAAAACAGGTTTTCACTCTGCCTGCAGGTTAGGAAGATGGTCCTAACCAGCTCTTCTCTGTAAGATGCTGTGAAGTCTGTGAGACAGTACCTCAAAGGCAGACTGATCCTAATACACTCGCACCAGATCTTGTTTCCCCACTCAATAGCAAACCTCAATATCCACTACAGTGAGAAGCCTAGGAATCTTCTCAAGGGAAAGCTTTCACTTTCAGTGAGTTAGTTAGAAAAGGCCTAGGAGTTTGTTTAGAGGAAAATATACTTGTTATTCTGCACCAATAGAAAGAAGCAAGAGAATCACCTCCACCAACACAAGGTTTAAATAGTCACCGGGTAGCCAGTAGAGCAAGGAGGAGAAAGAAGTTTAGCCTCCTATGAGAGATAGCTCACTGCAGCTCTCCAAGCAGTAAAGCATAAAAGCAAAGGGTAATCAACTCGTAAAGAAGAATTAACCTGTAAGGTGCTAAACTAACTGCACTGAGACCATGATAAATGTTCACATGAACGTGTCTTGATTCCTCTGCCTGCTCTACAACCTTTACCTGAAAACATATTATAGAAGTAAACAAGCAATTTTAAAGAGTTACTTGGGTGGTATGCTAGACCAAGAAAATAAGGCAATCACATTTCTGTGGAAATGAAGCTGTGGAAAGAAAGGAGAACAGCGTTGCTTTCTGGAAATTTTTATTACAATCTTTAAAAATGCATTAAAAACAGTGGAAAAAAAATTACAAAGAATTAAACAAATTAGTGCTGAGTCCCATTATTCAAAAGTGCACAGATCAGATCAGAAAAAGCAAGTTTCACTGGCTACCAGTTTGTTCCTTAGGCACACCAGTATTTTTTGAAGTTTTCTTGGGAAGGAGCTGAGGGAGGATATTTGGCATAACCCCTCCTTCAGCGATGGTCACACAGGAGAAGAGCTTGCTCAGCTCATCATCATTTCTCACAGCCAGCTGGATGTGTCGGGGCAGGATCCTGGCCTTCTTGTTTTCCCGTGCAGCATTTCCTGCCAGCTCCAGGATCTCTGCAGTCAGGTATTCCAGCACTGCAGCCATGTAGACTGCAGAACCGGGGCTGATCCTGTCAGAGTAGTGGCCTCTCTTCAGGAGCCTGAAGACTCGACCCACAGGGAACTGCAGACCAGCCATGGCTGATTTTGCTTTCTTTGGTGCAGCTTCAGGCTTGCTAGCCACTGTAAGTTTCTTCCCTCGCCCAGACATTCTGAATAGCACAGAGAGACAAAGAATTGGAGATTTTCACTGTACCCAGGTGCTTAGGATATAGGTAACTGATAACAAGAAGAGATAAGCAAGGATAGTTACACTTTGTACTCTTCTACATCAAGAAGAAAGCTTGTTCCTTTCATGAGGGTAGGAAGAGCTACTCACTTAAGTTCATTAAAAACAGATCTAGGATAACTGCTACTGCCCCTTAGCAGCCTATTTTTGAGAGAGCAAGAGTAGTTTGAAAAGTTATCAGTAAGACTTACTGAAGCAAACATAAAGAGCTCAGAAAAGCAGTTTTTCAATTATTAGAATGTACTGGAGATTGAGACAAGATGGACCACCTTACACAAGGTTTGTCTTAAACAATAACTTATCTCAGTGCTAGCTAAAGGCCAAGGCTGCCTCTTTTTCCAGGAGAACTCAGTATTCAAACTTCCTTTATTGTTATATTAGATTTTCTGAATTCACATTAAATACAAAACTTCAAGGACTTATACAGCCCACAAAGCCTTATCTGAGGGAGACCAAGAAATTTGCACTATAGTTTCTAAATTTATTCTTAAATAGATTTTTCTGGCTGCCATAAAACTATGGAGACTACTGTGCATGAGAGAGAAAGAATCAGCTTGGACATAGTGTTATTACAAACATAGAAATAGATTTTACTGTCAATTTACTAGAATAGCAATCAAGAAATTCAGTTCAGCTAGAAAATATCTCCAGTTAAAGTGGTAAAAATACTTGATTATCCTATTTATTCAGACTTAAGATATTGTTTAACTTCTAGTACAACTGTTTATAATATAAAAGAACACATATCATTAGACTAACATAATTTGTGTAGTTTTTAAATAGAGAAGCTTAAATACTTAAGAAATAACAGAATAAAGTTTCAAAGGGAAGAAGCAAAACAAAAAGCCTCCCCTGTATCAAAGTCTAAACAAAGCCAAACTATAGCTTATTACCTCCACCTTCAAACAAATGTTTTTAGGTTAGCTTACATTACAGATATACTATGTTACACATACAGTTTCTCTACAAAGTCACCCCAACTTTTTCCCTGAGCTTTATAGATGAAAATGATATCCTGTTACCTTCCAAACAGATATTTTTAAGCCTAATTTGTGCTTTGCTATAGCCTACAGTCAGAGGCAAACAGTCCTGAAAAAAACCATTTCCCCTAACCCGGAGCAGTGACTTTTATGAGCAAGATGTTCTCCCCATTAGTGGGGTCACCTGGACAATTAATGAGTCATTCCCACATGTGGTTCATCTTCTTCCAAACACTTGACTGGAGGGAAAAGGAAGAAATACAGACAGTCTGAGGTAAATCCTTCTTGGAGTGGGAGTCTAGGCTGTCTTCAAGGGCTAAACTACACTTATAATCTCTGTGCTCATATCAACTCTTAGTTGTTGGGGATGGAATATTTCTGTTCGTGTACCGCATGTAAAAATCAATCCTTCCTTTCCTGCTAAGGCTTGATTTAGACAAGTATATAAAGGAAATGTGAGTTTTAATCAAGAAAGAGGAAGGGAAACGGAGTAACATGGGTGCTTCCTAGGTAGAGGAGGCCTTTCAGCAATGAGAATGGAGAAAGACTGCTAGCTTCACTTGTACTCTGTGAGCAAAACCCCCTGAAATGATATGAAGGGAATGCTTCTAAGGTGTGTGATGCTTCAGGTAACTCAGGACTTAGTCTGAGAATATTGGCTTCTGGTGCTCAGGGTCATTGGTTAGTTCCTCTGAATTGACTTGGGTAAGAATCTTACCTAATACAAGTGAGTGTTTTCATACAATCACAGAATGGCCTGGGTTGAAAAGAACACAATGATCATCTGGTTTCAACCCCCCTGCTATGTGCAGGGTGGCCAACCACCAGCCCAGGCTGCCCAGAGCCACATCCAGCCTGGCCTCGAATGCCTCCAGGGATGGGGCATCCACAGCCTCCTTGGAAATCTGTTCCAGTGCGTCACTACCCTCTGTGTGAAAAACTTCCTTCTGATATCTAACCTAAATTTCTGCTGTCTCAGTTTAAAACCATTCCCTCTTGTCCTATTACTATCAACCCACATAAATACTCATTTCATTCACCTTGTAAATAGTGAGTGTACTTTTTGTGCTTATGCCCTTTCTGTATTTGTTTCTAGGTGTCCAAAATAGGTTCCAAGAGCAACATGCAAGAACCACATGCATGAACGGTATTTTCAGCTTCAGAAGATGGTACTAAACCATCAGGGTCCCTTTAAAGCTCAGGTCCCGACAAAACGTTTGTATGCTGAAAGCTGCATAAACAGGTAAGCCTTCCGTTCTGCTTGCTAGCTGTTAACTGTGGGTCAGAACCAAAATACTTTGGCTCCTAGAGGGGGCCTGCAGTAGATTCCAAAATTGCAATTCTAAAAACCTCAGCACAGATGCTGGCTTCAAAGTTCTTATGTAATCTATAATCGTGGCTCCAACACCACTCAGACAACGGTGATGAACATTTGGCGCACCTAAACATCAAGTTGAGTCTTCCTGTCCTTCAGAGCCATAGGAGGTGGATATGGAACACATTCCATGCATCCAAATATTCATTTTAACCATCACTGTCAACTGCAGCTGTGGCTATCAATCTCAAAGGGAGGACAGGTGATTGTGCCTTCCATTCAGTAGAACAGGCTAGCAGTTAGCACAGCAAAAATCTAGCTGGGTTGCAAGGAGACATAATTTTTTTATTTCAGTCCCTTGGTGGAGCACAGAAAAAGAACAACACAATCTCAAAGCCTGCAGACTGGCTGTGTGAGGTAGTTGCTGGGGACATGGGACGAAGCTCCCCATTCCTGAGCGTGCTGGCTAACAAACTACAGCACAAAAATGAAGAAAGAATTTTTTTTTTGCAGGATTCGAGGTGTGTTTTTAGGAAATGGGGTGCTGGCCTCAATGGAACAATGAAGGGATGGATTTTCCTACACGTCTGTGTGAAATCCAAGCTCCAGAGGGGCTAGGGATCTCATACCCAGCCCACTCCTCTGTGGTGCTCAAAACCAATGTCAAAGTGACTAGCCAGGCACCACCTGAGGGTGGCTGGGCACAGACTCCCCAGCTCAGTGATCACAGCCCCAAACTGCTGGATTTCAGTCCTTTCCTTCTAACGTGGAAAGGACTGCCTGGATTTTCAAACAGCTCGCTTGCGAGAGGCAGACGAGAGACCCACAGTCCGTAGCCGTATGTCACACGCTCAGTGTCAGCCGTGAAGCCGAAAGCACCGAGCCTCCAATCGGGAGTGGGCCGCGTTCACAGCAAGCCCTGCCTTATTAGGCGCTCCGGGAAGCGGCAGTGGCGACACGGGCCCCGCCTCACCCCCGTCCGGCAGCGCCGCCTCTCCGCGCCGCGCACGCCGGGACTGGCCCTGCCCTGCGCCGCCGCTCTCCGGGCCGCGGTCCCGCAGGCAAGATGCAGGTGAGAGCTGGAAGTCGCGGCAGTCCGGCCCTGCCCCAGTCCCCGTGGCGCGGGGGAGCCCGGCGGAGCGGCGTGCAGAGCCGTAAGGGCCAACGGCCCCGGCCCCGGGCCTTCCCGATGCTCCTCCGAGCGGGGCTGCGGCCGTGCGTGGCGTTGTGGGGCGCCGGGTTGGGCTCTTCTCTCTTTAAGGGCGGTGTGCGTTTTTTGCTGTTGTAGTAAGCAGATGGGTGGGTGGCTTAAGCGCTTCTGCGTGTTGACACATGGCAGGAGTGCTAAAAAGTCTGCAAGTACTGTGCCTTGGGGTAGAGAAGAGATGTGGTCTCACAGAGTCACAGAATTGTAGGGGTTGGAAGGGACCTCCACAGATCATCTAGTCCAGCCTCCCTGCAAAGCAGGCTCCCTACGGCAGGCTGCCAAAACAAAACCAACCTGGTGTGTAACTTAAAAACATTTCTACTGAGTTTGTCAGCAACGCAGGGGTGCACATTGGGCTTTTTTTTTGGGGGGGGGGAGGGACGACGTTATTGGAACTTCATTGCGAAGGCTTTTAAAATTCAGGAGCAACCTCAGTACAGACCTAGATATGTTCCCTCACAGTGGCCTTACCTTGAGAGACTGTGTGCACTTCCCTCCAAGCACTGGCTTAGTAGTGATCACAGCACTTCCAGACCTTGTACCCTGCCAAGATGTGCTCTGGAATAGAATCAAGTTACTTCTCATGGGGCTACAAGGAAGCCTTGGTGTCAGGAGGATGCATGCTGTGGCTTTCTGATGCTATCCGGATGATTACACTTCATCACTGTGCTGTTTCCTGAAAAACTTGCTTGAATGTAGAAAGCTCTCCTCAAATACCTGTCATCCACTTCTTGTTTTACTGTAGGACCCAGAGAAAGACACCGAGTGGAATGACATCCTGCGCAAGAAAGGTATCCTTCCTCCAAAGGAAAACAGAGAAGAGCAGGAGCGTGCAAAGGAAGAGGAGCAGCTTGAAATCCTTCAGAAATCTCTTGGTGGGTTCATGTGCCTGTGAAGAACTGTGTCCTCTTCTAAACCTGTAGGGCATACCAGAACTAATTCTTGTACAGGGTTAGCTGTACAGGAACACCTTGTACAGGGTGTTGCATCTGTTAACAGTATCAGACAAACACGTTCCAGAATATATGGCCTCTTCCAGAGCAGGAAGACTCTCTTCTTGATGACAACTCCATGATTTTGAAATGTTTACATGTATACAGTTGCAATAAGAACTGTCTCAGTGGAGTATGTTTATGAATGTACAAATAAAACATCTCATAAACATGATCATTGTATGCATCCTCCATTATTAAGCCAACCCCACTGTATTATATGTTTGTGCTGCAGTCACAAAGCTTGAAAGCTAGCTGTGGTTCTTCTGTACCAGCATAGTCAGCCTTTGGCTTAGAATCATTGTTGTCTTTACATCTATGTGTATAGAGTTCATAATATTTTCTAAAAAAAAAAAAAAAAGTAGTGTAATATTGGAGAGGAAAAAGACATATTTCCCGTACATAAAATATATTTCCCATACCTAAATTCTGTTAGACTGAAAGGCTGATGAGTTTTGTTCCCAGAATGATATATTTGCTGATTTGATGTTGCTTCTCTTCTAGTGAAAACGTATGAGGACATGACTCTGGAGGAGCTAGAAGAAAACGAGGATGAATTTAATGAAGAAGATGAGAAAGCTATTGAAATGTACAGGTTAGAACATCATGTGGAACTTGGCTTTAATGAAATCTTTTTTTTTTTTTTTCTTTTTTTTTTTCCTTGTGTATCTCTTGTGATTTCTACCATCTAGCTTGGTAGCGTAGCATCTGCAGAAGTATCAAATTCCTTTCATGGAGCACAATTGTACTTACTGCATGTTGATGCTCAAAATGTGGCTCAAATATAATAACATCTGTAGCCTACTTCAACTTGCTTTTATCGCTTTGGGGTTTCAACATATTTGTGACCTGCTTCTAAAATCTGGATTTCAGTCAGGTACTTTAAAATGTATCTATTTTTAAGATCTCTTTCCCATTCTCTATTGTTCAGACAGCAAAGATTAGCAGAAATGAAAGCAGCTCAAATGAAGAATAAATTTGGAGAAGTTCTGGAGATTTCAGGAAAGGATTATGTTCAAGAGGTTACGAAAGCTGGGAAAGGTATATGGGTAGTCCTGCACCTCTACAAACAGGGGTAAGATCTTAATTATTTAACCTCTAAACCTTTCATGGCTCCTGACAAATGTACAGCTAATGTGGAAATCGAGGAACTGAATCTGGAGTTAAAAGAATTGTTAGTAATTTGCTTTCTGTTGGCTTCAAGACAGCTCAGCTTTGTTGTTGAAATGGTGTTACTGTGAAGTGATGCTGTTGGTATCTTAATTAAAAATGAACAGCAAAAAATGTAACAACAAACAAAGAAAAGAAAAAGCCACATCAACTTCTAGTGGTACTAATTTAATGGGAATGCTAGAGAACTGAACAAAAGTAGTCAGAATTGCTTTCAGTACATTGGTCTTCCCACTGAACTGTTATTTCTTACTCTTTTTTTTTTTCTGGAGAAGATTGCTATCAAATGAGTCCTTTTTCAGTTTTTCTTATACGTGTCTCTTGCTGTTCTTGACAGAATTCCACTCTGTGCCTTAATAAACCAACATTTAAGTGGACTTGCGAAGAAGTACAGAGATGTGAAATTCATCAAAGCTATCTCTACCACCTGCATACCCAACTATCCTGATAAGAATCTGCCTACGATATTTGTCTACCTTGAAGGAGACATCAGAGCTCAGTTCATTGGGCCTTTGGTGTTTGGTGGCATGAACTTGACGAGGGATGGTGAGTGCCTGCATCCAACTGCTGTGAACATCTTTGCAAGAAGCTAAAGAGGTGGAGGGAGAATTAGGAGAATGGAGATCACTAAGAGCCGCGTGATGAGTTGGTTTTGCTGTTATCTTCTCCCCACCGTTTGGCTCAACAACACATGATAGCGATGTTGTAAAAGCAGCAAGTATAGGCCAGCGTACAGGTATTTAGAAAGCTGTGGATTGCAGGAGGTTGGCAGGGAGTAATATCATAAAGCAGTGCTTGGAGACAGGTATACAATGGAATAGGCTCTAATTGTTGGAAAGTAACTGGAACAAATGCCATTCCTGGACTTCACTGGAGGTAAAAGGAGGATACTTGTTGGCTTTCTGGGTAGGTGTGTCAGTACAGATACTTTCAAGCTTTTGCAAAGGCATCTTGATCTGAAATGAGCCGCAGATAAGGAGTACTTCAGGTCCCTGCTGAATGGTAGCAGTTGCCTGTGTTGCGGTAGGATGCAAAGAGGATTTTGTAGTGTGCTTTATTTTGTTCGTTTAATAAAACCCTAAAGTTTGCAGGTTACATTGAGTACATGCTGTAGAAGATGCTCTGTTTGACGTGTCAGAAAAAGAAAAGCTCACCTGTGAAACCGCTAATTTGAGAACAACTAACTGTGTATAGAGGTTGTCTCATTATACATTGAAAGGAACAGTGGTAGCAGAACGCACAGTTATCTTTCCCCCATTTTTAGCACATAAATAATTGATTGAGCTAGCTTAATTCAGTCACAGAGAAAAGCTGGGCACTGAAATTCTGTACTTTTATTTCTTCCCTCTCTAATTCTAGGTGATTTCCATTGGAGATTGAGTAAAGTGTGTGCTTGCATTCGTTAGTCTGTAAAGTCTGAAGAAAATTAGGTTTAATGATGGATTTTCCAGCAGGACTAGGAGAAGGGTTTCAACTGAGTGTGTTGTATTGACTTTCCTCTACTTCTGGGAAGCAATCCAATTTGGATCTACTTAGTAACAGGCACACTACTGATGGGCAGTTTTGTTTTGTTTTGTTTTTTTTACTGTCTTGCAAATGAACTAATAATCAGTGCAAGGAGTAGCTGGAAAGGGGTGAATTGCACTTATGTAAGTATTTTTCAGGGATATACTTTACAATTCAGGTATATTGATGGAATAGCCTCAGTGGCTAAAGAAACGTAGCTATTCCTGCTTCTTCTGACTGTGCTGAGCTTGCTGTTTGATGCAGACAGCTGTAATCTCTCAGCAGTGCGTGTTCAAACCTGATTTCTCTCCTTAAGTGGATAGAAGGAGGTTGTGTTCTTTCAACAGGGAAGTTGCCTTATGCAAAGCTGCTGCTCTGTGTCCACTGTCTCTGACATAACCCGTTGTAAAGGGAGCCAGGAGGCACAAGGAATGACAGTGCAGGCTCAGAGTACTGCTCTGCAGACAGCCCAGGGCACAGAGCCACCCAAGTGGTTGAGATCTGAGTCAACACTCCTAATCTTGAAGGGAGGACTTGGCTGGAGTGGGGCGAGGGACAGAGCAGGGGAGCTGAGATGGGGTGGCAGGGGAGGGATAGAGTATGGCCCTGGTTTTGATGATATTCGTGGTAGTGTGGTAAGAGAAGCCAGCTGGGGAAACAAGGTGGGAAGAACTGAGGAGAATTGTCAAGATCAGAGGTCCTTTTTCCTTTTGAGAGTAAATCAGAAAGGTGAGGAGCTGTGTGTTGAGGTAAATAAATCAGCAGATATCAAAAGGCGTCAGAGATAGAAAACAGCCTAGTCTGCTTCCCCTTATTTGTGACATTCTTATTTTGCTCTGTGTAGAACTGGAGTGGAAGATCTCAGAGTCAGGTGCCATCAAGACAGACCTTGAGGAGAACCCCAGGAAACAGATCCAGGACCAGCTCATGTCCTCCATTAGGGCATGTGTCCAAACCAGGGGAGAGAGTGACTCAGAGGATGACTAACTCCTGCATCAGCATCAGGATTGATACAGTACACTTGCAGCCAGTGTTCCTGCCTAAAAGACTGGAGGTGCTCATCAAGATCTTCCTGAACCCCAAAAGTGGAACATTTCAAGACAGCCATTTATCTAGAAATTTAAAGTCGGTGTTTTTTTGATTTTGGTGATGTGGGTATTTTTCCTGAAAAAAAATTAATGCAGCTTTGAGATCATGAGATTGAGAGCATTGAGATCATGAAAGACTTTTTATATTACAAAGCCTGAGTAAATCTTACTCCAAGTTTTAAAATATAGGTATTGGTAGATACAAAAGTCTCTTGTTATTATTTTCTTAGTGAACTGCTGACACTTTTTTTCTTTTTAACATAAAATATGAAGTGACCTAAAGCGTAATAGTTTAACTATGTTAGTATAAAAATTCATCTTAAACATGGTGAGTTACAGCATGGCACTTGGTCTTCTGTTAACCTGTCCTGTGTAGATGCTGGATGGAGAGAGTGGACTGTGGAGAGCTCAGGGAAGTGACATGGGTGCTGCTGAAAGCCACGTTGTGGGCCCTTTGCATTGGGGTGCTGGCAGAAGGGCTAGCACAAGTGGGAGAGCTGGGGGCCCCAATGTCTTCAGAGATGCATTAGTGATGGTCAGTATCTTCTTGGACCTGCTAAGTCCAGAACTCCCTTTCATGTACGTGAGTTTGCTTAGCAGCAGTATTTTGCCTTTTGCAGCACTGTCACCTATTCAGGAATGAAGATTCAAGTTAGTGGCATTCCAGTGTGAAATTACTGACTTCCACTTACTGAGAAGTTCGATGCTTTACTACAATAATGCCATTGCCATATGGAAGGGAAAACAATGTTTGAAGAGCTAATCTTGTCTTCCTATATTAAAGCAAAAATGAAATACTCTTCTAGGTAGAACAGTAATAATTGAAGTCTTAGTTCAACTCTATCTCTTCCTTTCCTGAATTATAGCTATTCTAACACTGAGCTGTGTGCTTATTTTGGATTGGAATAGTAGACACTAAAATCTTTCTCTTTGAGATCTGCATAGGGATTTGAGTGTAACTTAAGTCTTTTTTTTTTAAACACACTGTGGAAGTGAGTAAAATGCAGCAGGATACAGGCTGATAAATATTAGTTATTACATTTTGTATGTATTCACATATTTCTTGACAGTGGGCTATGCAAAGTGCTATCAGACCTGAGCCTTTTTGGTGCTTACCTGTATCTCCTTACAATCTAGGAAAAGGACAACTCTTTCTCTGCAGAAAAACCAATAAGTGACTTCTACAGAAGTCATTTACATTAAAAAGATTCTAGCAGAAGTCTGCATGGTTTTTCTTTGCTCATCCTTTTTGAAGTGTGCATTGTTTCACACCTTGGAATGACCTCTGAGCATATCAGCTGGGTTTCTTTAGGAGGATGCTAACGGAGAGGAGCAACCACCAAAGGGCATTTGATACAAAAAGTAAAGCAAGAGCTAGTTTGAAATAAGACCCTCTGTGAGATGGTTCAGTATGAATGTCATATCCTCAGCCTTTCTCTCTCCACATTTGCTGCTGTTAGCAGTTCAGCTGTCTTAGTGCAGGCACAGCTGCCATACTCTTCTCAATTTATTTTTAAAGCTTATCAACTTTCCAGTAAGGAGAGCAGAAACTCCATTTTGTGTCATTGCTGCAACATATTCAATTTAAAGTGTAATCTAAAAAGTAGCTAGAGCTCTGGATGCATTTTTGCTTCTGTTACTAGCTCTCTTGAGCCTCTTTAAGGAAGGAGGGTGGTGATAACTGCAGGGTAGGCTTTTGTGGTTTTCTGGACCGCTGGTTTCTCCTGTTATGGAATCAATACAGTATTCTGTCTTCAGTCTTTGCCTCCAGCACATCCTCTCTGTGCCTGTCAGATACTTTCATCCAAGGACTTACAGTGAGAAATCTTGCTCTGGTTTGCCATGCACATCTTCCTGTACTGATAATGTCTAGTCTCTATTCAGCACTTTCTTTTCAGTTTTTAAATACATATCTGTGACCAGGACGGGACAGCCTATGTACTGCGAACCCTTAATATCAGACCACTGATGAGGGCATGTATTTAATAGCATTGGATAGTTTGGAGGTGACCATGAGAGGTCTCTCACCAAGTCTCCTGCACAAAGCAGTTTGGACATGCACGAGAATGCACCTGCTACTGCTGATCATTGGGTAGCTGAAGGACAAAATGCATCTGATGACCAGACCATAGGAAATTGCTATGTGCCTATGACTTGTACCATTTTTTACTCTGTATTCTTGTACATGCTGTACTCTGAGATGCTTGATGAGTTGACATGTGGGGTGCCATTAGAGAATATCATCTTTAATGGTGTAGATGGGACAATAACAGAAAACCAAAAGAGGTTGAAGGTTCTGCTGAGCTACTGACACTCATGCAGAGCATCATTTTTAATGGTCTCTGTGCTTCCTGGTATTTGGCTAAGTGTGAAAACAGTTCTTTGTAATCCTGTTCTCTTTCTTGCCAATTGTATTGTCCTGATCAAGGCCTTTTGTAGAAATTAGATCTCCGGTGGAGATGGATAATGAGCTCTGTTTAACCTTTCAGCACAGCAGAAACTACAGAAGCATTCAGGTAAGGGGAATGAGCTTTCATTTAAAAGGAAGCCAGTTGCTAAATAGCAAACCAAACCAGCCATTAATATCCATAGCAGAATGAGGCAACATAATGTGGGAAAATAACTGGGGAAACCGAATGCTCATTTGCAAAGATTTGGGGCACCGTCACTAAATGCACTTCTGATATTTTTGCAGCCTGGCAACAATTAGTGTCAGATCAGTGATCTCTACTGTGCACTGAGGCTCTGGAGAGTCAAAGGCACTGATCTGGTAAAGCCTGCTGAGTTTCATAGAAGATCCTGTTCTATGCAGTGCTATGAGAGCATTGCTGACTCATCCCACACAGCAGCAGTGCCTGAGGTGGGAAGAAAAGTAACCATGGGCCATAGAGAGATGCAGATGATTCACCATTAGTGGACAGTCACTCGAGTTCTTTCTGTGTGTGTGAAATGTGAGTAAACCTGTAGTCATAAGGAGTGCAGCCTTCACAGTGTGGGTCTTAAGTCTGCTGCTTACACGGGTTTTATGTGCAGGCAGATTAAGTTGATGGCAGGCTGCCCTGATCCAGCTAAGTCTCCACTCTGATCTTCCTCTACCTCGATCTGCTTGCAGGGATGGTCTGCACTCATCAAATCCTGCCAAACCTGGAGGGTAACAGTTTCCATGTGCTTTATACACACAGAGCCCTGTGTTGTGTACAAGCATGGTAACGAAGGGGAAAAGCCAGTTCTCCAGGTTCTTAGACCTACCATGGCCAGGGTACCTGTGCTTGGACACAAGTGTTCTCAGAAGCTGGATTTCAGGAGGTGATTTTCATCAAACTTCAGCTGTATTTTTGTTCCTGTACTGCAAGTTCAATTTCACAATATTTTATAACTATTCTCTCAAAATCCAGAAAGTTCTACTTTTCGGAGTCTGTGTAGCAATATGAATTAACATTTCTAATGCAAACTACAGTAACTTATTTTGGACTAACTTGTTTTGTAAGGGGGGCAAAAAGGAAAAAAAAACACCATAATATGAATCTTTTTCTGCATATTTATTGGGATTAGATCATGTCTAAAGGAACACTACTGTTGCTAAGATCAAAGGGGACCGCTTTCCCTTCTCTATATGCCAGTCACATCCTTTAAAACCACTGCATTGCTAAACCTAATCTATTCCCTGTCAATTGTTGGGAATGCAGCATGTATCCAGTTAAACTCATTCCTCATTGCAGCCCATTTTAAATCACTCTTCATTTCAATTTCATTTAGCTAATTCAGTCATCAAAGGAGTGCAAGAGGCATAAAGTACTTCATTGATGCGCTTATCTCGTCACAGAATTAGAAGAAGTACTGAATATCTTTGGTCTACTTGCAGGAGGCTTTTGTGATGCCAGGAGAGGATTCACTCCCTCCCTTGGAAGAGTTTTGAGCTTCAGATGAGAACCGTTGAGAAGAAAATCCAAGCAGTACGAGTCTCTCTAGACTTGTGTGGGAGATTGATGAGCGTTCCAACTTGTTTTTATGTAATGTGTTCAATCTTTCATTTCCTGACATGGCACCATTTTTTGCAGGCCTTCAGCAGATTAATTTTAATTTACAGAGCTGACTGATGGAATTGAGGTCTGATAAGAAATGGCAGGAAAAACATCAAGTAGTTCTGAGGTCATTTCCATTTCACACTTAACGTGTTAAGTGATCAAGGAATGACATAACTTAAAGTGGAACAATCCCATGTAATAGATGTTAACAGACAATTAATGAGCTGAATGTAATCTTTACAATCAATATTTGTAAGCCTCTGGATCAATATATCTACTATAAGAAGCCACATTTCTTCCAGTACATTGAACAGCTTAAGCACAACATTATTTACGAGGCTCCAGCTTGTGGAGGCAAAAGTCACAACAGCTGCCAATGAGAGCAAGATTTTCCAGACAGCTGCTGCTTACTTGTAAAGTGACACTGCCTCTTGCTATGGCATGTGGCTATGGGTTGATGGTTGGGCTAGTTGTGGTCCTTTCCAACTTTAATGATTCTATGATCCTGATCCCACTCATACCCATTGGAAGTACTGCCATCAACAAGGAAGGCAGCAGAACCAACTACATCACAGTTTATCCATCTGCAAAATCATACAGACCACATGGGAGTTGGGAGACCTCATCAATTACTTGCTCATATGAGGATGTTTGTTACAAAAAGCTGAAAGCAGTGATATTCAGAGCCTTCAGGGTGACAGCTGCTTTCTGTAGCATTGTTGTTCCTGGGCTCAGGCAATGAGAGCAGGAGAAAGTCAGCAGTAGTCCCTAGTGAAAGTTGATTTCTGCTATGACACTAAGGCATGGGCTATTCTCTTTTGCAAGGAAGTGCTTATTGTAAAAGGTTGCAGAGTTTGTTGGGATGAAAACACAAGAGAATATGCAAAACTTGGAGTTGAATTTCCTGGCTGGTCGCTACCCCAAACTTATGATTATGTCTAACTAGCAGATGTAATGGGGCTGCGGAATGAATAGTAACCAGATCCTGCAGGGTGACCCAGGCCTTACAACCTCTCCTGATGAGACAATGGGTATGGATGCCAGATCTTTCAAATACCCCCATGGGAGAACACCCAGGTTGCTGTTCTCTGTGTTTAGACGGTGATGTGCTAATAGAGAAAGCAAGTTAGAGACGAAATGTTTGCTAGCTCAGAAAGAAGCTCAGGTCTTATTGTTTGAGGA